GATGAGCATGTGAGTGTCCGTACATCTGATTCAAATATTTAAGTGCAGAACTTGTACCCATCTATTAATGCTCCCTCCAAGGACAACAAAATCTTGTGTAGCTTGATGTTGTGTCTGACTTTGCAGGTGGGAGACGAGGAGTCTAGGGAGCAGCTGATAAAGAGCCACTACATGGCCAGAGTAGGAGAGCTCACCACCCAACTCCAGATTTCAGATAGCAAAGCTGTGCACTTTCACTCTGAGGTGAAGATCTTACTGAAAGTTGTTTATCCAAGTAACTGTGTGTCGTAAGAAAGACCGTTAGTTTGCCTTACATGTACATATTCTCTTTGTGCTTTGAAAATGGTTCTCGAGTCGGGGTTATCACCATCTCCACTGAAAAACCGACACTAAATATTTTAAGTAATATGTTGTGTCTTACCCTCGATGTAAATGACTTGTTAAAGTTACTGTCACTTGCCTTAGTTTGGCATTATAGCAACAGAAATGCGCCTGATGTCGAGTTAGACGTGACGGTTTAGCAGCAGAGACTTTAATATTGTGGATTTCCTGCAACTTTGACACTCTTCTTAAATATACCTACTTTTCAAAGAAATCCTTCCTGTTATTGCAGCTTTATAAACCGATCTGTAAAGCGTGCCAGACATGCTTTAAAATCATCAGGGCACAGCAAGTTGTTTATTTTTCTCTTTCCCTTTGTAGTGTCGAGCTTTGGCTAAGAGATTAGCCATTGCAGAGAAGTCGCGGGAGACTTTCAGTGAGGAGGTCAAACTGGCTAATCAGAATATCACACGCTTGCAGGTATGATGCACAGCCAAAGAGCTTCCAGTTATAGCATAAAGCGTAAACATTAGCGTCCTTTCAAGTCAAAAAGCATTCACTTTGTAACTGTTTGGGCCTGACACGCAGGATGAGCTGGCTACGACTAAGAGGAGCTACGAAGACCAGCTTAGCATGATGAGCGACCATCTGTGCAGCATGAACGAGACTTTGAGCAAGCAGCGAGAGGAGATCGACACGCTCAAAATGGGCAGCAAGGTATAACCTTTTGAATTCCAGCTTCTTTTGCAATATTTGCTTTTTAAAATTTTGCTTCCCTCTCAGGGTTTGCTTTCAGCTGTGAGGTACTGCCAGTCTCCAGTTAGGTTTCTGCAATGTTTGGGCGGCGATATCATTTGAATGCGTACGTCGACGCAACAACATTAATGTGTAGACTTTGCTTACGTATATACATTCAATTTGGCATTAATTAAGCAAGTTAAAGTTCTGGAGTTGATTCTAGTTCACGCTGGCATTTGCACTTTTCTGTGAACACAAAAATGTGTGGTCAACGTCAGCTGGTCCAAGTGAAGAAGGTCATCGTTACAATGAGAAAACAACACAAATCCACCAGCCGAATAAACAGTTTGATATATTTTTGAGAGGTTAAATGGTGGATGATCACAGGATCATTTCCATAAGCAGAGAAAAAACCCTTTAAACATCCTGCTGAGTGAAAAAAAACTCTTCCAGGAGGTAGGCGTATCGTTTTCAAAGTCTGCCATAATGAGAGTAAAAGGGTTCACCACAAGGAGCAAACCGGTGATTAGCCACAACAGTAGAAGGTGCAGATTAGGCTGCCAAAACACATCTATAAAAGGCCGACCAGCTCAGGAACAATATTCTTTGAACAGATGAAGCTAAAATCAACTTGTAGCAGAATTAAGGGGAGAAGAATGTAACGGGGCGGGCTGGGATCAGCTCATAATTCAAAGCATTAATGTGTGATGGTGTGGTCACGCTCGGCTTACAGTAACGATGGGTCGCTATGGTTTATTGGCCATGTGACAGAAGGTAGAAACAGCTGGGTGGATTACGGAGTGTATCGAGCTATACTCTCTGCTCAGGTTCACACAGATGAAGCAGGGTTGATTGGATGGTGCTTCACACTACACATGGACAGTGACCCAAAACATACAGGAGTTTTTTAAGGTAAACAAGTGGAATATCCCGCAGTGGAAATCCCTCACCTGATCTCTACGAAAGTGAGCGTTCATGTCAGCGAAGCAAATGTGTTTGGCACGTGAATAAAGCTGACTGTAATTCCTCGTTGAACATTTACAGACCAAACCGTACCACCACCCTGTCCCTCCAAATCTCGAAAGAGAAGTGATACGGCCACGTGGAGTGTGAAGGATCAGCCGCTAGTGAAGTGTGACATTGTAAAGTTTCTCAGTTATGAGGTGAAGCGGGAGGTCAGTGGTGGCGTTGCGGTTGTTGCGAGGTTTAATGGGAAAAGCACCTGCCGCAGACGTCTGAAAAAGCCATTAAGCTACAGGCGCAGTAAAGGAGAGGGCTGTTTTTTTAAAAAAGAAGAAAAAACGCGCATGCCCCTGCATGTGCGCACACGGATGGCTGCATGCTGGGAAGTTTCAGGACCCGGCATGTTTGTGATCTAAAGGTGGCGATTTTTCTCTTGAAGGCCAGCACACCAGCCTCAGCATGTTTTTCAGTTTTTGAAACGGAGTACGAATTTTGTCTGTCTTAGTCACTGCACTGAAATGCAACACAGAGCGTTAGCTTTTGCACCAACCGTGAATATGGCTTGCTTTGAGTTTAGAGGACTGAGCTCACTTTTTTGTGTGTGTGTGTTTTTTCTTTAGGGAAATACCAAAAAGAACAAAGGCCGCTAGTGCTGCTCCTCAAAACTCAAGCTCCATTTGACGCCACTATAAAGGCATCCTGGGAGAAAACCTGAAGCTCGGAGCCTCCCTGCAGCGTCTTGGTACCAACACTGTCACCAAACCACAGGATAACCACCTGAGCCTGCAGTTCCTCCACTTGCAGGCAGTACAAAACTGTTTGGAGGCTCAAACACATTTGACTGAAAATGCTTTGTTTTTCCTTCCCCCCTTTCCTCGTCACAGAAGTACATGAAACAAAACAATTTGCTAAAAAACAAAAGCTTTCCAAAACTGGACCAGATGTTACTGCTTGACCTCTGCGTCAAACCACGCTGCTTTCCCAACAGAAGGAGCAGAAGAAGATAAACAGCTGCAGCAGCTGAAGTTTTTAATACTCACTGAAGTCAAGACTTGAAGACCAAACCCTGTTAATCAGTGCGTGTAGTCGTCCAGCTTAATGTGCGTATAAGAGACGGTGGAACTGTGCATTCTTATTGCTTATGTGTGACAGTATGTGTGTGTGTGTGTGTGTGTGTGTGCGCGCGCTTAGACTGTTGTGTCCTCGTGTGACTGTAGCACCAGGCTTTACAACGTGAGTAATGTTTTACAACTACCTTTTTTTTTTCTTAGATCAAATTTGAGATAATAATGCCCCCACGTCCCTTCTGACACTAGCGTATAACACAAGCTTCTGAAAAGAAGGGCTTTAAAATCCCAACCATAACAAAGATGTGCTTAAATTCATTCCTCATTTTTAAGAAATCTTCAGTCGTCTAGGAGTGGAGGAAAGAAAAGATGTCTGCCTCGAAGCACTGATTAACCGTGTTTACTTTAATGGGAAGGGACGGACAAGTTGGAGCTTGTGAAATGATGTCAATTTATCTCTGTGAAATTATGCTGTAACAAGTCATTTTTATCACCAAAGTAAGTGCGGATGGGCACTCAGAAGCCTGGCGGGGAACGGCAGTCTCTCGACGTTGTACGGCGTGTGGATAAAAAAGGGTTTATGTGAATATAACCTCATTTAAAATCATGATGTAATTGTACTGTACAATGAGTAAAAAATGATATAGGCCTATATACAAGAGGCATTTATTCAGAGGTTACAAAACTTTTATTTTCCACAAATTTTACAAACTGACATCTGTGGCTAGTTTAGTGTGTGTCTTGTCTAAGGCTACAATACAGAGATGTATCGCAGAGGGATCGGCCCACACTGGAACTGGTGCTCAGAAAACTTTTGAGTCATGGCAGAGGGCAGTTAAAGTTTACACTAAAATTGTACTTACATGAGGTAAAAGGAAGAAAAGCCCAGAAGTGATTGTGAGCAGTTCATTTAAATCTTTTTGTTTGCCAGTCTACAGCTGCCAGCAGACCAGCAGACCTTTGATCTGACAGGTTTGCCAACGCCCTCTAAACATATTTAAAAAAAAGCAAGAAACTTGTATTCTCACATTGTAACTTGTTGAAAAGCACACATCAAATATGTGACGCAAAATAAAGAGCTTGCTCAAAACATAAATGTGTCATGTATTTAGAGTCACTTGGTTATTAATCACTCCTAAAATTGACCTAACTTTACCTGCTGCGTTTATGGGAGGTGAGGGAGACTGGGAATTGTAAGTTGTGTATAATTTAAAAAGGCGAAAAAGCAGCCGCCAACACACCCAAACTACTGGGAAATGAGGCACGGACATGTGGAGACTAGAAGAGCAGTTTCTGATGCCGTCACTTGTTTTGAAAGGAAAAACGTGTCGTTTTATAGAAATTCGCGATGCTTTCAAGTACTTTTGGTACATGACTGAAGAGTACAGTAGCTCTAATAAGAAGTTTGTATAGGCTGCAGAATTACTATACATAATACCAAAGGCATTTACATTACTTTAAAGTTAGGCGATTTAAACACCCTGCTTGAAGTTGTGTGTTTTATACAACTTGAGTTTTTACGTGCTTTTGTTTTGTAAACAGCGGTGAAAGGGAACGAGATTCTCTTTTTTTGTGTGATGAAATAATGATCCACTTGTCTTTTCTTCTTTTTTAAAATTATTTTTTTAATCTTTTGCTAAACTGAATAAACGCTATCACAAGGCCAAAGGTTGTAATGACACACTTTATATAAATGTGGCAGTTGAGTGCTATGTTTATGGTTAGCTTTGAAACATTGTCAACCGTATCTGAACTCTGATAGTTACTGAGTGAGCATATTAACATTAATTTGTCGAAACGTGAACTTAGTAAGTTAACGTATGTCCAGAAATAGCCAATGTTCTGATGTGTCCCACCGCTGTGAACGCAGCACTGCTGTGTTCAGTCCCACAGTGTCCCGTCGGAAGACAACCATCAGTCTGAACTCGGGAGGGGGAAGCGCTAGGCTGTGCAAACTCCCAGGATTTACACTCTGCCATTTTGATCAGGACCGGGCCGACGTCGGAGTTCAGACGTGTCCATCAAAAAACAAAACAAAAAACAAAGCAACAAAAAGTCATGGCCTGAATTAGTCACTGTTGCTGCTGCTAAGTTTGTGAGTATGTTTTCCTTTTCGCTTGCACTCAGGGAGCTGTGTTTAGTTCAGGTCACGTTGTAAAAACCAAATAAACTGTTTTAGTGCACTCTTTTTTTTTTTGTAAGTGTCGACCCGGTGTGCTGTCGTGTCGTCGCTCGGTCGAGAGTGACTGGCGCGTGTGGTGCTCACTTAAAAGTGCGCAAAGCCAGAGCACGATAAAAGTAAACTCATGGTGACAACTTTACTCCTTCGAGCTCGTGCGTCAAAACAAAAGGCGCGGAGCTTTATCCCAGGATTGGGCCTCTCTGTCCGGGACGCGGGCCTGGCTCTGTTGTGGATGACAGCATGCGTGGTACTGTTTTGTGTGTCCAGTCTTGAGTTGCCATGGGGCGAAAAGAAATGTTGTTTTCCAGCAACTAGTGTTTGTGTCTGGCAGCCAACTGACCGCGCGCTGGGTGTGACAATGAAACAGTGTATCAAATAAGTGTGATTTAACAGGAGGCATACAGTTTATCTGCGCATGTAGATATTAATAGGAAATGTGTAGCCTTTTTCAATACAGGAAACTTTAAATAAGTTTACTAAATGTGAGATTTTGTAACTTTCGCTGGACTGCAGCTACTTTAGCAGTGAAGGGACCAGTGCGAGAGTCATAAAGACAGTAAAATAGCCTAATCATAGTCAACTAACATTAGATAACTGCCTCTAGTAGCAATCAAAGCTGCTACAGCAGGAATGTTAAACTCATTTTACAAGTATTTTGATTACATGTAAATCTTCCCGTTTAGTACAATTTATAAAAATAAATGCATTTAAACGAATTTGGACAAGTGAAATGTACTTGATACAGGGATTTCCAACTCATTTTACAGTGTAAGCCACATACAGCCCGCTTTGATTTGAAGGGGAAAGAAACTGTTTAACTATACATTTAATCTCTGAGATATTTTAATATAAGAATAAGAAGTACAGTTTAAACAGGACATGCCAGATTGAGGAGAAAAAAAATGCTGCTCTAGGTAATGAAAGGGATCTGTTAGCATGTCTTTTTTTGCTTACGTGTAAGAAATGAAGGTGTAAAATTAAATAAAAGGTTTTGGTTGCTTTTGCTCAGAAAGTTTTTGTTAATTCACAGTATTTGTTTCCTTGTGGACTCACTGTGAAATTTCTATAGTAGATTGTGGGGAAAAAATGGGTTTTTTCCTTTATTGAGTGGTTTATTCATTACTTAGGAGTAACGGAGGGGGTCATTATCAGTAGGAAAAGCTGTAAAACCAATGAAAATGCAGTTTAAAAAAAAAAGTTCAAAATGTATGCTGTCTTTTACATTTTCCAAAGCAGTTCAGTGGGATAGATTTGAGTCTTTTCCAGGCCAATTCTGGCCTGTGGGGCTTATGTTTGTCAACCCTGTACTAGAGACGTGACAGCTGAATGTGTACTAGAACTAATATCTATACATTTTAATTTATTCTATTATTTGTTTTCATACTTTAAGCACAAGTTTATAATAGTTTATCCCTTCATTCCAGATGAAAGGAAAGCATAATTAAATGAGTAAACTACATCCACAAACATCCCCCATTCATTCCTCCTCATTCTGTTCCCAGTCATGCTTGTCTGAACTGGAACAAATCTCCACAATAAATGCGGCAGGGAATCCCGGGATTAAAGTGTATAACTAACATAACACCGATTCATTCAACGTGTGAGGAGACAAAAAGAGCTGCGGCACCCACGCTCGCTCCTGTGCTTTGTGTTAATGGGAGCTCACTTTGCACACGATGCCACTGCTGCCACTGGAAATGGGTCATCACATTTTCAGCTCTGCACTAGTCCATGCTCTCATTGTGGTTACAATGGTAGCAGCCTGCCCTCTCATTTTAAAGTGTGTCTTATTTTGTTTATTTATATATACACGTTTTATTTCGAAGGAAAAATATTCCAGGCTGTAGTGTGAATGTACAGGAAGTGGCCAGAGAATCCAGCAGGAAAGTGTCTTCTTTAATCAGGAAGCATCTGTCTGCTGAGTTCAAGCCCTGGTGTGTGTGTGTGTGTGTGTGTGTGTGTGTGTGTGTGTGTGT